TAAAAACTGTAAACAGAGCGCATTACGCGATATGAAGCAAAAAATTCGACAAGTGGTGAATGATGGAAGTAATTATTTAAAAACTGTAAACAGAGCGCATTACGCGATATGAAGCAAAAAATTCGACAAGTGGTGAATGATGGAAGTAATTATTTAAAAACTGTAAACAGAGCGCATTACGCGATATGAAGCAAAAAATTCGACAAGTGGTGAATGATGGAAGTAATTATTTAAAAACTGTAAACAGAGCGCATTATGCGATATGAAGCAAAAAAATTCGACATGTGGTGAAGGAATGTAAGTAATTCTTTAAAAACTGTAAACAGAGCGCATTATGCGATATGAAGCAAAAAATTCGACAAGTAGTGAAGGATGTAAGTAATTATTTAAAAACTGTAAATAGGGCGCATTACGCGATGTGAAACGAAAAAAATATGACAAGTGGTGAAGGAATGGAAGCAATTCTTTTAAAACTGTAAATAGAGAACATTACGCTATGTGAAACGAAAAAATATGACAAGTGGTGAAGGAATGGAAGTAATTCCTTAAAAACTGTAAACAGAGCGCATTACGCGATATGAAGCAAAAAAATTCGACATGTGGTGAAGGAATGTAAGTAATTCTTTAAAAACTGTAAACAGAGCGCATTACGCGATATGAAGCAAAAAGTTCGACAAGTAGTGAAGGATGGAAGTAATTCCTTAAAAACTGTAAACAGAGCTCATTATGCGATATGAAGCAAAAAATTCGACAAGTAGTGAAGGATGGAAGAAATTATTTAAAAAATGTAAATAGGGCGCATTATGCGATGTGAAACGAAAAAATATGACAAGTGGTGAAGGAGTGGAAGCAATTCTTTTGAATTACTTACATTCCTTCACCACATGTCGAATTTTTTTGCTTCATATCGCGTAATGCGCTCTGTTTACAGTTTTTAAGGAATTACTTCCATTCCTTCACCACTTGTCATATTTTTTCGTTTCACATAGCGTAATGCTCTCTGTTTACAGTTTTTTTAAAAACTGTAAACAGAGCGCATTATGCGATATGAAGCAAAAAATTCGACAAGTAGTGAAGGATGGAAGTAATTATTTAAAAACTGTAAACAGAGCTCATTATGCGATATGAAGCAAAAAATTCGACAAGTAGTGAAGGATGGAAGTAATTATTTAAAAACTGTAAACAGAGCGCATTATGCGATATGAAGCCAAAAATTCGACAAGTGGCGAAAGAAAGGAAGTAATTCTTTAAAAACTGTAAACAGAGAGCATTATGCGATATGAAGCCAAAAATTCGACAAGTGGCGAAAGAAAAGAAGTAATTCTTTAAAAACTGTAAACAGAGAGCATTATGCGATATGAAGCCAAAAATTCGACAAGTGGCGAAAGAAAGGAAGTAATTCTTTAAAAACTGTAAACAATTCATATGTATATTTTATCACCTTTAGAAAGGCTATCTACAACAGTACATCAGATGAACGTGACGTTCTGTTGGTACCATTGATTGGTTAACTAACTGTTACAGTCTCAGTGACGGCATTTTTGGGGCGAAGATTAGTAAAAAAATCATCCAGTAAGAGCGCTAATTTTATTATATTTTTCTTTAACTAGGTTTATGGTATCTGGAAAACGGAAAACACATGGGACTCTTTTAATCCTTGCATTGTTACGTCACAGTTGTTGGGCAAGCGCCACCGTACGACAAAGAACAAAAACACGGAAGCATGTACGAGGTTTGCCACTACTGATATTGACAGACAGCAAGATTCTTCACATCCACACCAGCCAAACCGATCGTCTGTTCTTGAGAGTTAACTGTGTTTTACCATTATGGATTTAAATGGCATTTTTCCATTAATTTAGTTCAAGAAAAATAAATTAGTTCTTGACTCTTTTAGAGTCCCGTTGACTAATTAGATTCTGACAATTTCTTTGTTAAGAACGGCCAGACTTGTATATTTCCTGCTTAATACAACAGTCAGTAACTCTTAGTGTATTTGCTATGGATTACAAAATTGCCTAGTAAATACTTGTGACTGTGGAGTGTGAGTATGAGAGTTTTCGGGGCGTTCCTGTGTTATTGCTTCGGTGTGGTTTTTCAACATGTGTTTTCAGGTAAGTTTGAAGATTTTACATAAACGAAATTCAGTAGTGGATATTTGTATTCAACAAATTAGCATAGAATGATTTAAAGTCAACATTTTTATTTTAGGAGTTTTGCTTCTTAATAAAGCCTCTTAAAATTAAAGGTAAGAAAAAATATTTTTTTGGAGTTTGATAAGGTCGTTATTGAACGTGTACAAAATATGAGCATTTTTGAATTTATTTCAATATTATTCTTAAGATAACTTATTCTTTAGGCGTTTTAGAAAAAACTTATCAAAAATTTTGATATACACATCTGTGCTAAGATAAAACGTTCCAATAAATAATGATATTTATTTTATTGTTTCCTCTCAATCTTCTGAGAAGACTTTTATTATAAAGTTAAGCATTGTTTCTTCTGAGAAGACTATTATTATAAAGTTAAGCATTGTTTCTTCTGAGAAAACTTTTATTATAAAGTTAAGCATCGTTTCTTCTGTGAAGACTTTTATTATAAAGTTAAGTATCGTTTCTTCTGAGAAAACTTTTATTATAAAGTTAAGCACTGTTTCTTATAAGAAAAATACTTTTACTATAAAGCTAAGCATTGTTTCTTATAAGAAAAATACTTTTACTATAAAGTTAAGCATTGTTTCTTCTGAGAAAACTTTTATTATAAAGTTAAGCATTGTTTCTTCTTAGAAGACTTTTATTATAAAGTTAAGTATTGTTTCTTCTGAGAAGACGTTTATTATAAAGTTAAGCATCGGTTCTTCTGAGAAGACTTTTATTATAAAGTTAAGCATCGTTTCTTCTGAGAAGACTTTTATTATAAAGTTAAGTATCGTTTCTTCTGAGAAGAC